TTATTATTATTATTATTATCATCCATACAGGTATTTTACTCCCCAATCGACATAATGTAGACAATTTTAGAGAGTTGCTTCGACCCTGCCTGTCAGGTTCAACCCGCATTGAGAGAGACACTACGGCCTACTGGGATGACGGAGTGACTCAATAACAAGTTAAGCGTCCAACGGCAACAGCACAGTTACTGATCTATGCGTGTATCCGCGGGGTGCTTGAGTTGTTTAACAAAAGAGAAGGGCATCAGGACAGTTGCGGCTTGTTAGTGTAAGGAAAGAGGAAAACAGACAGGCAGAAGCAACAGAGGAAAAGAGAAACAAGTAGGACCTATCAGTGGAGCCTTGCAGCCCCTCACTCAAAGTTTTCTTGACCAGAGGCCACCAAACTACGCCGCGGGCCACATCCAGTCAACAAGGTCGGTTCTTTGAGCCCGTCGCAAAGTCACCATGAGGGACCCCCCCAAAAAAATAACAACAAACAAACAACAACAACAACAACAAACAAACAAACAAAACAAAACAAAACAAAAGCAGAGCAAAAACAACAATATAAACAACAACAACAACAACGACAACAACAACAGCGAGAACCAACCCTCCCCAAACAAACAAACAAACAAACAAGCAAACACTCAAACAAACAAACAAACAAGAACTTGGAAGAAGTGTGTGGGGTGCTCAGAACTGGGTCACCAAAATAACCTGAAAATGTCATTGAACTCTGCAGTGGAAACTAAAATCACATTATAACAGACTTCACAACTTCTAGCTAATGTTTCACACCCTTGCTAGGCTTTAATGTGTCACATCTTTCATTTCAAACTTTCCTATCGCAAACATAGATCTCCCCTGTTCGTCCCCAGTTATCTTCCCTGTCCGTCCCCAGTTGTCCACGCCAAGGGTTTCCCTGTTAGTTCTCCTTTGTTTGTAAAAGGTTTTACGGCGCCCTCAACTGCATAAAGCCAAATTATGAGCACACGGAAACACGGCAGTAACGTTCCCAGGAGTTTGTTGCATCGCTTGGTTTTACTTTGCGAGTCCCAATGGTTAAAATATCTAAAACATATAATAAAATCTAGTTATCAAATCGGCGATTTACATGTCTAAAGTAACAATTAATATTTCCTAATTTTAGAGTAAAGGCCAATGGTCTTCGTAAAATCGAGAGATCTGTTGGCATCAACGACGGAGGCAAATTTCTTAAATGTGTATGCGTACTTGAAATATTTCCTTCGGGTCTCTCCAAAGTCCAGACATTCTATTGCTATGTGCCTGGTGGTATTGCATCCGACTTAAAGAGCATTCTCTGTTATCCGGACGACTAAAATTTTTTTTTTAAAATCGCCGGTCAGCTGTTAAAATGTACTAGATCTAGTTCTAAGCCCAGAACTTTGAATTTTTTTCTTTATTGCAGTTTCTACAAATATATATAT